AAGGGACCATATTCAAGCTCAGAAAGAGAAATAAAATTTCGTCGTTGCTTGTTTACGTCTTCCATAAAACGCGAAATTAGGCATTTTCACGTCGTAGTCGTGCAAAAACAGGAAAGAAATGAACAAAAAAGTGTGTTGCACGTGCGAAGCTGTTGTTTTGCTAATTAAGCCTATTATTTTTTTGACTTTCTAGTTGTCGTCCGCGTCGTTGGATCTTAAACTCCCTATTGTACAAACGACCGGTTTCAATAGACCGGCGAAATTTCTCATTTTATTAAAGCACTGCGGTTACGACAACTTCGAGTTAAACTGATTTCACGCGTTGTCAAAGAGTCAAGCGATTCCTTTTTCCCAGGTGAGCGCCGACTCATTTCGCTTCAATATTCAGGAATGCTCTCGATCTTTTTACGCTTTCATTGCCTTTCGCCCGACATGTTTTGCACGGCGTTTAGTCATGCGAAACCTCCACGAAACATCCACGCCTCGCGCGAGGTAACTTTATCCCGATTCTAAAAATAACTCGAGACGAATTACCTATGGAAGAGGGTGTATATGGGGGATGCCCTCTCTGTCCCCTTTATAGTCTCTTGTTTCGAGTGATTGCAATAGCTAATGGTATAAATATGAATACAAAATCCGAGAAACTTATTATAATTTGTTAGTATACCAAATATCACCTCAAAAAATAAATTGTTATTAGTTGTTATCACTATTTCTGATTCCTTAAGATATTTTACGCGAGTTTTTGGCGCCAGTACTTGATGTCAAAGTGAATTCAAGATAAGATAAGACAATTTAACATAAATCGAATCAACTGGATAGAGCGATTTTGTTTGCCCTTGAAAACGGTTTCCGTCGAGTTTTATCAAAAAACAGTTAGATCAAAACACGAGATTAGTTGTATTTCCGAAACTATCTTTGCAATTTTGAACACGGAAGTTGTAGTAAACCATGTTTGTTGACCTCCAAGTGGTCCCTCCAAACGATCTCACTGAGCTTTGTGTTGGCATATCGTTCCCGGGTTTTACCCGTTTAGAATTTTTGCGAATTTCACTGGTTAAGTGCACTGCTTTTATCCGAGTGGAATAACCCGTCACTCTAGGAATATATCATGCCCAATATAAGGGAAATCCACAGTAGCTTCTTGGAGTAGCCGACGATAAGATTATCAAAACATTGAGAAAACACTGAAAAAATACCGCTCAAACGACAAACGCAATGGCTAAATAACAGCACCAATTAAAATCAAATTGCTGTAGTGTTAGTTTTAGTGTTTACCCCGATTAAACAACAAGAAGAACTAATAGAATAGCACCCGAGTGAAGTTACAAGAACCAGAATTCGAGTTATTGGGGTAAATTTCAGCGAAATTTTGATCAAGGGAAAGGAAATTCAGGTCGAGTTAGCGAGGAATTCAAGTAATCCGAGTTTGAGTGAACCGATTGAAAATGACTGAAAAGTGGGGTGAAATCTAAGGGAAATGGGATTTAGTTCGAGTTAGCGGGGAATTCAAGTTACCGGGGTTCTACTGTATTTTACATAACACTAGGAGCTACATTTCTTATCCCAGGGGTATTATTGTAAATCCTGGGGATACTCTCGCCAACAAAAATGATTCTCTATCACAGGGCACCTTCAGTTTTCGTCATTTTAGTTCTTTTAATTTTCTATTAACACTGTCAATAAAACTAACACAGGTGATTTCGACAACTCGGTCATTAAGTGTTTTATTAACCTGAGAGAACAGCCGACACTTCTGGACGCTATCACTGGTTTCACGAAGTGAAGTCTGAGAAACGAGGGCAGAAATTCCATACTGGTTACGCCTGACTACAAAAATCTTAGCCTGCGTGGCAGGGGTTAAAAGGGGAAGGGAAAGAGGGAATTTGGGCGCGCGAGATCGCGCGAGGTTCCTTTCCTTTCTCCCTCGCGCGCCCAAATTCCCCCTTCCCCTTCCCTTTTAACGCCTGCCACGCAGGCTACAAAAATCTGGGTAGTGCTTCTGGTTGGTTGAAACAATGTTTAAACCAACCAGAAGTACTTTCCAGGTCTGGGTAGTGACGCGTCATCAATGTGGAATTTCTGCGGTCGTTTCTCAGACGTCAATTCGGGGGGAAAACAGTGGTGGCGTCGCGCAGTGTCGGCTGTTTTCTCAGGTTAATGTTATAACCCTTTAAACCCTCAGATCAAAATTTGAATTCTCATTTGTTGCCCCCTATTCATTTCCTACAGAGGTAATGGGGAGAAGTTGATAAAATATCAAGCAAATTCATTTTGTGTGATCATGTTCGTAAATTCTCATGTACACTCTGTTTTACAAAGCATTGATATTACAAGGAGAGATTTGATGCTGATCACTCTTACGGCTTAAAGGGCTTAGAGTTTTGTTTCAAGCAGGGCTGTCACTAACGGTCGGGAGTCGGTGATATCCTTCGGCTACTGTGAGTATAACAGCCGGGTACTTTAAAAGTAAAAAAAAAAGGAAAACAGGACAAAAAGAACTTCCAAGCTGTTCAATTCGCTGCCTCCTACTTGCCTGGGAACTTCAGTAAAATCTTAGTGATCGCCCTGTTGAAGGGTATTAAGGTGGCTGAACACAGTTGTATTCAATCGTTCATGTTGCCATAGAAACTACGAAAACATCAAATTTTACCTGTCACTCAAAATCTTTCATCAGTATATTTTTCACTTTCAGCTTGTGAGCTGCAACCTTTCTCTTGCCATGATTTGGCAAATGACATACACTCACAAACTGCCAAAACTGTGTTCAGCCACCTTAAAGCACCCGCACTCACAAAACCGCGAATTTAATCTTATCAACAATAATACAGAGGAGAAGTCGTTACGTCACGATGCCATGGTAGCAAAACTTCTGGATCTCAACAAAGCGTGGTCCTGCAAATATGGCAGGAAAAAAAACAAAACAAAACAAAAACGAAAAATTTTGGGATCCAGAAATCTTGCGACCATGGTAACGTGACGCACAGTTCTCCTCTCTATGGTCCACAGCGTCTATAATTAATCGATGAAAAAATATATAAAAACGAATTTGTCTCAAGTACTCCACCTCTCTCGCTCTTTATATCCTATTTAGTTGTTTTAGCTAGTTCTACACTTTGTAACGTTTGCTTGAGTTCGTGCCGCTATGATGTGATTGTGTACAGTAATCTCGTACACAAAACATGGAAAATCTCTACCTCAGCGGATCTCAGGGTCAGTAGAGAGATAAAGATTCACGTCTACGCCAAACGGCAAACGTCAGATTCATGTTAAGAATTCCTCCGAATAGAAAATAAGCAGACAAAAAAAATGTCCAGAACAGTTGTTATGTATAAAACTGGCGTAAAACTAGTTATTTTTTAGTTGAAGTAATAAACACTTGTCGACAATTAAGGGAAACACTTGGTCACGTGGTACAGATTCACGTTTGCCGTTTGTCGTTAATGTGAATCTTAATCTCTCTAGTCTTCACGCTTCAGCTGCGCACTTGAAGCGGTGCAAATCGAGCTCAGTCCTCAGCCCAGTTCACACTGCGAAAGTGATCAAAGGAGGCCTGGAACCGAACGCCATCGTACGGGGCTTGGCGAAAAATGACAGAAAATGTCCCAGAACGTTGAGAAATAGTCCACATTAAAATATGTCGTTTTTCCCTGCGAGAAACACAGGATATGGAAAATTTCGGATCTCTGAATTAAACATTCCTTCCGAACATTGGCTGACTGTTAAGACGGTAACTTTTGTTTCGAAAGAATTTACAGTTGGCTGTTCGAAGTCCTCTTTAAATATCTTGGCTTCTTTCCTTTGTACACTCGCTTTAAGTTCTTCAGTCGAGCAAACCATTTTAAATCCGGTGAAAATTACCCTCATCAGCAAAACGACGTCTCCGTTTAAACTATCTCGGCTTCTTGCGTTTGTACACTCGCTTTAATTGTTTTAAGTGAGGTTTGGTTTGGGGAAGTCTACGCTTAAGAGAGTTCTGTTGTTCAACAAGCGGAGCGAGGTGTCCCTGTTCAGCTAACATGGTCAAAAATGTGCGAATAAAAGGATCGTAGTCATGAGTTCGGCGACTGTGATCGATCTGCAAAGAAATGGAATAATAACAATAAATAAATAATTAGATGAAGAAATTTTCATTCGTTAACCAAAACGTATTGTCACACTCATTCACCCTGACAGACTTCATTCGCTTGCGTTTTTTTTCCTTTTTTTGGCCACAGCGCAGATCTTGTGACAATAATTATTCTAGTACTCGAGCACTCATTATTTCCAGTGGCACAAAGGGGCGAATCTTGTAAGTACCGTCACGTGAACTATATCAAGATAGAAAGCATCTAAAATACATGTGAATATGGTCTAGTCGTCTCGAAAACCCGCGCGTTTCGTGTTAACACAGGTGCGCGCCCCACTAGCGTTTTTGAATGTTTTCGACCGCCTACAATAGAACTTTTTCACACGACTTCATGTTCGCTATATAAATGAAATAAAATAATGAAACGGCGGCCATGTTGGTGTTCCAAACCAATCCTGGAGTTGAAAACTTTTCTTATGCAAAAACGTCCTTTTGTTTCAATAATTATGCATAGATGCTGACCATGTCAATGAAAACTCTCTAAAGGCTGTAGAACACGCGCAAATCTGGTGATACGTTCTTGTTCCCAGACTACTCCCTCACGTGTGTACTACTCAGTGCGCATGCTTCAACAGCTCCAGTGATGATCTTGACTATTGCCGCCATTAAAAATATAGTGCCCGCCAAAATTCACAAAGAATTAATACATACGTAGTACTTCCTCCGTTTCTCTTTTTCTTCTCTCAAGGAATTTTCATTCGCTTGAATCTGACGCTCTACCTGGTGTAGTTGGGTAACAAGAACCTGAAAGAATAAAAAAGCGACATAAGAAACACAGCTCCATGTTAGCTTTAGCTTGTCGGTCAATCATTCATTTTTTTCATCGTTTTGCGATTTGGTGACAAAACCTGGGTCATAAGCAAAATAAGAGGAAAGGCCAAGGAACGTGAAATAATACGGTCTTAGAGTAATCCAGCTTCAATTTTGACGACTGTGTTTCTGTGGTAAAGTAAACAAACAATTAAACAAACTTGTAATGGCTAGCCAGCTGCCCAGCAACTCGGGCATACATGAGACAATCAAACAATCAAGCAGTCGGTCTGCCAATCAGTCAGTCAGTCAGTCGGCTGATCAATCTATCAGCCATCCAGTCAACAGGTCCTGAAGTCAGTCAGTCAGTATGTCAGTGAGTCAGTAGTGATTAATCTCTTCTTCCCCGCCACCCCCCGCCCCCCGCCCCCCTCCGTTTTAAAAGTATTAATTCACAAATTTATCTTGTTCCATGCTATTAGCGAGACCCAGCTTACCTGAGTTTCTGAACAAATCTTGGCCAACTCACTCAATGGAATAGAAAAGCCATAATTCGGGACAGGTTCTTGGTTAGCGTTCTTTGCAGATCTTTTTTCGTCATCTACAACGCCAATCAGATAATATTTTGTTAAAACAAACAAACAAATAAACAAGCAAAATTTAGTGGAGAAAGTCCACCGTGCGGTGTTACGGTCTATCCAAACGTCAATACTTCCTCTACCTTTTAGCTTCGGCTGACTCTTTGTGCCAGTGTCACCATTATCTGGGTCACTGGACAGCTCCTCTGCGCCTGCTCTACCATCATGACTGCTGACCACTGTCTCGGAGTCAGAGAATGAAAAGGTTTCAGTGTAATCCTGTTGATCTTCTGATGGAGCTGTCTCGGTGGTCTCCTGGAAACATCAACAAAGAAAATACCATTCATAGCAGCTTTTTAGAAGATTTAAGGTCATATCGTCCTCTAGTAAATTCAAAGTCACGACCTAGTGAACGATGGAGCGTTGTAAGATGTTTCTAACATTTGATTCTGTGGACAAACTCCTGTGGTGTTACCATTCAGATGAAACCTCTTCAGCAGTACTTTCACATGGTACTATTTATTTAGTATGGAGTTCTAACTTTTGAGTCTGTGGATGAAATCCTATGATGTTACCATTCAAATTACGAGTCTTCATAGCCAATACCATCACGGCTTAACTGACAGACGACCAATAACATCGCTAACCAGAGTATAATACCATCAACTTACGTGATACAACTCACTTTAACTCTGAAGATGACTACCGCACAGGTTGTCGAAACGTCAGTCACTGTCAACAACAACAGTCCTATTCAGGACTACGTTCACCCGGACGATCAAACGCAACCTACTTTTATTATTATCATTATCATTATTTTATTTATTTATTTATTTTTAAAGCATTTTACAAACTGTCATGTCGAAGTGTTTTTAAAGATTGACTTTGGCCACTTTTGTGGTGGTGAAATGGTTAAACGAGTATGCACCCCATAGTCAGTTCTGTACAACAGGAATATGTAACTTGACTGCTTCCAAAAGGTATAAGGAGCCAAAGAAAGGTACACTGAGGCACCTGACAGGAGATTAGTAAGTAGGGACAAATGGGGTCAAACTGACCGAAAGAAATTCAAACTCTTACCCCTGTTCCTGATTCTCCAGATTCCGAATGTAGACTTCCTGTAGGCGACAATGGTGGATTCGCTTCTGTAGGTTCTTTACCTTGTTCCATTTTTTGCGACTCATCAGATGGCACACTTTTGTTTTCCTCCGCAACAGTTTCGTTTTTTTCCTCGGCAATTTGTTGTGTAGTCACTGCTGCCGATAAGTCCCCATTCTCTTTTGGAGTCTCTGCGGTGTTTCCTGGTTTTCCTGGGACATCGCCCACTGACGTTGTCATTGCGATGGATGTTGGCTTAGCGACTGATGTTGTCATTGTGCACGGTGTTGCCATGGCAACTGTTGTTGCCATAGCAGTAGCGGGTGTTACCAAAGCAGTACTTGCTGTCGTGACAATGCTGTCTGTCTTTTCCAGTGCTGGGGTGTCTGTTGTGTGGGAGGGGGAGTCTGTTGCAACAGCCGCAGTTTTGTCTTTACTGGTAGCTGGATCAAACTGCGAATATTACAAGACTAGAACTCAGAATAGTCATATCTAAACACTGGTCGTACAGCAAGCATGCCCACGGGCGCTTTCCATTCGTTTCTNATTAGTAAGTAGGGACAAATGGGGTCAAACTGACCGAAAGAAATTCAAACTCTTACCCCCGTTCCTGATTCTCCAGATTCCGAATGTAGACTTCCTGTAGGCGACAATGGTGGATTCGCTTCTGTAGGTTCTTTACCTTGTTCCATTTTTTGCGACTCATCAGATGGCACACTTTTGTTTTCCTCCGCAACAGTTTCGTTTTTTTCCTCGGCAATTTGTTGTGTAGTCACTGCTGCCGATAAGTCCCCATTCTCTTTTGGAGTCTCTGCGGTGTTTCCTGGTTTTCCTGGGACATCGCCCACTGACGTTGTCATTGCGATGGATGTTGGCTTAGCGACTGATGTTGTCATTGTGCACGGTGTTGCCATGGCAACTGTTGTTGCCATAGCAGTAGCGGGTGTTACCAAAGCAGTACTTGCTGTCGTGACAATGCTGTCTGTCTTTTCCAGTGCTGGGGTGTCTGTTGTGTGGGAGGGGGAGTCTGTTGCAACAGCCGCAGTTTTGTCTTTACTGGTAGCTGGATCAAACTGCGAATATTACAAGACTAGAACTCAGAATAGTCATATCTAAACACTGGTCGTACAGCAAGCATGCCCACGGGCGCTTTCCATTCGTTTCTATGGAGGGGAGGAGGGAGGGGGAGGGGAAGGTTTGTGCTCCCTTCCACCACCACCACCACCACCATACAAACGTCTGTAAATTTTCGCAACTTTGCGGAGCTATATCTTAAGACGCATCACTTCCAAATTTGGCAGTTTTACTAATATCAACTAGACGCTCTTTCCAGTGGTGTCGACGGATTTCGCCATTTGTCAATGTGAAAAGTTGAAAAAACCGTGAAAGGGTCTATTTTCCCGAAAAGTTTCTACAAGTTTCGGAAACAGTTGAATTTCCCGAAATGCGAACAACTCAACCGAATATTCTTGAAATTCCGGGAGCAAAGTTGTCTGGTGTTTACGTCCTCCATAAAACGTGAAATTAAGCAGTTTCACGTGGTAGTCGTGCAACGACGGCAAAGAAATGGACAAAAAGCGTGATGCACGTGCAAAGTTGTTGTTTTGCTTATCTCAACTATTGCTTTCTTTCGCCGTTCTCATTGTCGCTACCGTCGTCGTGGAACAAGCTCCCTCTTACAAATATTGTCAACGAGTCCGCCAAGGGAAGACGCGAGGCTGACGAGGCGGCATTATACAACTAATATCGAAGCGCGCTATATTGTAAGGTATTAAGTGTAAAGAAATAGGCCATTTCCGAGTTCCCCCGGGCCTCTGTATCAAAACGAGGTTAAGTGCTCAGACTTTGATATGGAAATGATTTTTCAAGAAACAAGAAAAACAAGAAACAAAAAAATTGCGAAACAGACCTTTTTACCGATACGGCGGCCATATTGAATTAATTCGATTTAAGGAGTATTATAGGTTTTTGGACTCGGAAGTGGCCTATCAGTGTAAGGTAACGAAAAAAAGAGCTAAAACAAGAACCAATGAGAGAGCGTGAGATTTGGTATATGACGCAGTCATCAGGCGTGGTTGTGGTAGAGTTGTTTATCAGTTGGTTTGTCCGACGTTCCTGGACATTAATTTTTAGGTGAGTAGAAATAGGAGTTTTAAATGCCTGTGTGTTTTTTGAACTGTGTTCAGTTTAGTAGAGTATTCTTTGGAGTTTTTATTTAAACAAGTGCGTTCAATTAAAATCGAGCGAGCGAGCTCAAACGTGAACGAGAGAGTTGTTATCGGCAGCGTCCCAGTTGCCAAGACAGACATGACACACATATCCCAAACATGTCACACATATCCAAAATTTAACAGCAATTAACCTGAGAACGAACTCGTACATAAAAGCGGCTAGCGTAGCACAGTTTAGACGGTTTATATTTGAACCAGCGCGTTCAAAATCAAGCTAGTGAGCTCACAGAGTGAATCACGTGTTCATCGGCCAGCGTGTAACATCTGTGACTCAACTCGAGTATTGCTGGTTTGCAGGTGACGTCACGGCGGCCATGTTGGTGGCCAAAAACCAAAGCATTTCTCTCCTGGGGGAACTTCAAGATCAAATACTATTGTATTGACCCCCAACACGGTTGCCTTGTCACGTGGTTGCAAACCAAGAATAAGTATACGAATTCCTTCACACGTGCGATCCAGGATGTACAGATTGTGCAAAGAATTCACACATTCTCTGAAACTGGATTCTTTGCCCCCCATTAGCACTTAGCGATAGCTACAGCTAGTCATCATCATCATCGTCATTATCATCATCACCATCATCACCACCTTCCTGATCAAAATCATCATCATTATTAATCTCTAAAAACGTTTAAAGATCCTTCAGAAACGCCGAGGAAAGTTTGACTGAGTGCCTCATTTGTGAGATGTTGTTAATTAAGTAAATGAGACCATCCTTAAACACTCAAACCGACTCCGTTGCAGCAAAACTTTTCATTTAATTATTTCGTTCTTTTGTTCTTCAAATTTAATGTAGTTGTGTTTCACACCTTCAACTCCTATATATATCATAGTCTCTTTCATTTGTACTTGATAATAGTGACATGTCGTCGCCGAAACGTCATGTTTTAATAGCGTTGCTTTTTATCCTTAAATGTTTTACAAAATCTTTCATTATTATCATTGTCATTATCATTATTACTATTACTAAAACCTTTATAGCAGCAAAAACTAAAATGAAATTAGCCTAATAACAATAAAACAAGGACCAGAAACAAAAACCACAACATAACCACTGGATAGGCATTAATTTATCCCCTGCAGTTTTTTTTTACATGTGTACAGCATGCAAAGAAAATAGTGTCCAACAGCCCGGGGCTAGTGGATTTTGCTATCGGGCTAGTGAATTCGATTTTTAACTTGTCCAACGGGCAAGTGATGTTTTATGAAGAATTCGAATAAAAGAAGAACTGTGAAATCAATTCTGCCAGTCTAAAAGTTTTTGGGGCTAGTTAAAATGACGTCTGGGCTAGTAAATGCTAGCTTCAGCTTGCCCGAATGGCAAGCTGTAAAAATAATTTTCTTTGCACCCTGATATAACAACATACAGATGTCAAAAAAAGGTGCTGCAGAAAATATTTTGATCCTAATGTTGTAATTGTCTCCACTATTCTATGAGGCTAAGAAGCAAGATAAATACCTTTTTCAGTGATTCCACAATGGTTTCTCTGCAAGATAAAGCACATTTCCACATCTTAATAATGATATTTAGTAAAGAAAAACATACATGTATAAAAAGGCATTTTCACAATACACTCGTACAACACCAACAAAAATTAACTCAATAAATAGTATTAGAATGAAATTTATGGAGAGGGGCTCATTGCACCATGATGTCAATATCACTTACATGTGTATATAATAACAGATTTAGCAAAGGCTAAAGCAAAGATTTCATTAACCAGTTTTGACAGCTGTCAATTGACCACAACATGGATGTGCACTGTCAGGTTGAATGTTCCCACAGAAGCTAGAAAGTGTGACATTTCACATTGGTTTCCCTGTGGTGTGGACAGACAGATGGGCAGAAGTCTGTTCATGTGACTATAAACAATATCCCACATGGATAGATAACCAAAATTAATTTTCTTACATTGTAGCTATAAGGCTCTGTTTGCCCATGTGTAGCTCCGCTATTAAACACACAACATAACCTACCCAGATGCAAAACAATAATAAATAAATTTTACAGGTAATTCACCTTTCTCCATTTAGCTGTTTAAGTTTCTCCTCGCATGTGATCATTCGGTCAGCCACAACAGCCATTAGGTTGTATCTAATATCATGATATGGCTCACTGTTCAAAGCAAGCAAACACTTAACATTAGTTTCAAGAAAATTAATAAACAGCACCACAATTATGTAAACTTTGGGTAAGCATTAGGTCTCAAGTTGCATCTTACAAATGTACTTCCCCTATCCCCTGAAATCCTTAATCCTAGCCTTGGTTCTATTTTTCTTCTATTTTCCAACACTCATTTATAATTATTGTACCACATTCATTGTAGCCAGAGGAAAACCCCAGCCCCTGGCTCTAAATGACAGCCCTTACATCTCGAGCCAAACATTTCTAAATCACCTTCCCCGGGTGGATACCCTCATTATTGTTCATACTGACTCACCCTCCAGTTGCTATCCCCAGTCTGTCAGTTATCACTCTGCGAAATTTTTCTGTCCACTCTTCATGTTCACCCCAAGGACCTAAAAGTGATTGTTGAAAGGGAAAGTTAGTGAGTACAGTGGTGAGAGCACTAAAAATATCTCCCATCAATGTGACCCAGGTTCAATTTGTGTCAACACCATATGCTGGCAAGATTTTTTTTTCTTGGTACTCTGGTTTTCTTCTCTCCTCAAAAGCCAACATTTCCAAATTCCAATTTGACAAGTGATCAGCTAGCCTAGAGGAAGAACCACTATGTGAATGTGCTTCATGTAATAAAAATAATAATAATAATAATAATAATAATAATAACAATAATATGGCATAATTTCCATAAAAATGCTTGATTGTGCTTCACAGAAGTTCTAAAAACAATAAAAATAATTGTAAATAATAATAAGTATTATACGAGTAAAAATTAAAAACCTAGTCATGATTGCACTTCATAGACTTCTAAAATTAGTAAAGATAATTCTAAAAATAAGTATATACAATTAAAATTAAGAACCTAGTCATGTAAATTCTTGGGAAAATAAAAATGTTTTCAGTTTCATTTTGAAAGTTGATAGATTCATGGTCGTCCGTATGTCACCACATGGTAGGCTGTTCCACGACTTTGGGGCAATGAACATAAGAGCGTGATCCCCAAGGGTCTTCGGTGACTTCATTGGTGGAAAGTGGAGTAAGGTTCCATCACAAGAACATGTACCTCTAAATTGCTATTTATTTCTTAATTTATTCATTAGTTAAAAGGAATCTTGTGAGATAGACACTGGACCTACCATGATCAATAGGGTAGGGTTTAAGCCCATCTAATTCAAACAGTCTTCCACTGATTGGTACGTAGCTTACAAAATGAAATGCTTCCATTGCACGGCCAGTGGACACAGCATTGGTTTTCTCAGGTAGAAGCTTAGGTTCTGGCCTATAGGAAAGAATTGAAAGATAAGAAAGGGAAAAAAATATATATCAATATCAGGTCCACCTTACATTTGGTACATGTAAGTGTACTTTTTACTAGGGCAGTAAAACATTTAAACGGAATAAAAATAATTAAGATATAAAAAAGGAACAAAATTAATATTACCTGGCAAATTTGTTGTGAGCCATGGCCAATTCTGGTAGATTGCCAATCACATATCCTTTGTTCTGAAGTTTAGAAGCCGTTGAACATAAAAGTAGTTAACATGATGTAAAGAAGTGTTTCTTTTTTCAGTAGTATGTAATCAGCATGATCATGAAACAAGCCTTTCTATACATGCACTTCAAAAACTGGTATTACTTCAACTGATGTTTTATCACATGTACGTGTAGGAAACATGCATAAAAACCAAGAAAAAATGAGTGATTAAAAAATAAATGAACAATATGAAACAACAACAAAAATATGTATATGAAACTTAACAGGAAGTCACTCTCAGGCTTTCACCTGTGAGCAGAATAATAAGATAATCTTTTAATTGTTTTGAAAACTTTGAATTGCAGTTGAGCATTCTTGTTGTTAGAAGTATGTTACATAAACAGAAATGTTTTCCTAAAACCATCAGCACTGGATTCATTCATTTATTTGTTTATTTTATTGGTCAATCAGAATGTACAATTTTATTTACTCATTACCCACAAATAGGCATATCTGCAGCATATCTGACATTCCATTCAACATAATTTACTGCAACTGGCAATGAGAAAGGCAAAATAAAAGAAGCACAAAGTTGAAACAGTATGTACCTCGGGATCAAACTTGCTAGAAAACTCCTTTAATCTGCTAAGGGTTTCTCCTAGGTGAATATGTGTACAATTTAACAGAACACTCAGTAATGAGTGAGTGGCACAGGAGTTTGGAATTACCTGTTGGCCAAAAAAATAATATTAATAATGGATAGAATTACCATTTTAAGGGACAAACTTATTAAGCCTTTCTTTACATTCTCAAGAATTCCTAACACATTAAAGTAACTTTTTTCTATGACATATCCACATTATCCACATTCTTACCCCATATTATGATCAATACATCTTTCTACTATTGTTAGTTTTAATTTTTTTACAATTGTACCTGCTGGGCAAAAAAGATATCTCGTACAATATTTTCATCCTCCACAAACATTTCTTCCAAGGGCTGCATCTTGCGTCTTGATCTTCTTTCCTCGATCCATTTAAAGAGAAAAATAAAACCATACACAGGCCTACATAAAGCAAAGAAAGAGATTATACAGTCATGTATCTGTAAGTTTTCTCTCACCTACACAACACTGTAATTAAAGATAAAGATGCTATAGTTCAGTTATTTATTCTTTTTGTTCATGAAGAAGATTTTTGAGAGAGTTAAATTATTTAAGAGAATCCTGCGGCTTATCTGCTGAAGTTAGGAAAAAATCAGTCATAGGATTTTGAAATTATTGACATTTTTTTAAATTCAAATTACGGAAAAACTGTTATCAGTCCTGCTCATCAATTATTTTTTTTTCAGGCTAGTTGAAATGACTTTCGTGCTAGTGCATGCTAGGTACAGCTTGCTCAAATGGCAAGGTGTAAAACTGACTTTCTTTGCACCCTGATCTCAAAGCTTCTATACCTACAAGAAAATAAACAACACTATCTTTAAGTTCCACCATTCTTTATTAATGATACCAAAAAGCATAGAAATCATTCCTGCTGAAAAACGTGATTAAAAAACATTACCAACATGCATATAAATAGATTCAGGCCACCTTAAACAGCAGTAAACAGCTGAAAACCTTTCAATAGATTAAAACATAAGCAGTAAAGTATACATGTTGCAGGTCAAACTTTAGTTCAAGTTAACCCTTTAAGCCCCAATATCCACATACAAATTCTCCAAACTGATGTCCATAGATTTTCTTAAGAATTACTTGAGAGAATTTGATAAAAGATCATGGCATTTTCCCTTTGGTGATCATTTTATTAATTCTTATAACTTTATCTCTTGACAATGTATGGATATTATTAGGAGAAAATTGTTTTTGGTCACTATTGGCACTTTAAGGGTTAATTTTCACGGGTTAATTCTCAATTTCCTTTGTCTCCTAGGCCTGATTCTTGAATAATTAGGGCTAGGAGACATAGCAAATAGAGATTCAACCTATTTTAAAAAAATTAAACCTCAATATAATTTTGACCTGTAACATACACAGCAAAATTAGATGCCATACCCTCTGAATGGTTTTGAAAGATCATATATTTCCTCAACCTGAGCACCTTTCACACCTAATAGTAAGTAAAGATTAATACATCATTGAAGCAGGTTACTTTTGATAGAAGAGACCAAGGTTTAGTCTTTTACCTAATCTAAACTTGAAATCTTTACCAAGGGTGATCATGGTGACCAGTCGTATCGCCTACAAGTCCTTTTGCTCATGTCCTGTTAACCAACGTCTTATGTCGTTCCACTAAGAAGCAAAATGAGCGGTGCGCATGTATATGCTTTGTTCTCTCGACCATGATATATACCTTGTTCTTTCAGCCACTGATCAGGCGAAAGCATTTAGGGAACTGACCTAACTCGTACGCGAAACGACTTCAAAAGTTTGTGAACAGAACGTTGGCAAAACGACTCGTAGGCGAAACGACCATAAACCTTACTGAGCAAGAAAATCATCCACCATTTCACAGCAGGAAACAAAATGCAAATAAATAAACAAACAAAACAAAACAAAAAGGTGTGTATTAAGATTGATCATATTTAGTAGAGAGGTTCCCTCTAGATCTACTAACTATGGATAAATATATAATGTAGATGAGGTATCCAGTCGGTTCGTTCCATGATCAGATCGTTCCAAGTCAGATCGTTCCATTCAATAGTCAGATCGTTCCACAAAAATGTCAGTTCGTTCCACATTTTTTTTTTACTATAAAAAGTCATGTAAAATTTTCTAAATGTGTCATTGTGATCTGAGTACAGAGTAACGAACGGAAGATAGATGAAAGTATTTTCAGAACTATTTACATAATAGTGAGAGCATGTGTACGTGTGTTGATTTCACTGCGCATTGCATTGCGGAACGATGTCAGTCCGTTTGACTCCAGTGAGTCTCTAATTGATGATGAGAGCTCTTTTACGTGATCCAGTGTTTGTGTCGATCCAAATTATTTTATATTTCCTTACATGCATTTATCGATCGATCCTTGTAAGCACTGCATGTTGAATTCTGATTCACTCTACTAAGCTAAAATGACTGTTGACAAGCTACTCACCGAACTCCTCAATTAGAAGGCTGAACAGTCCTACATCAAGAAAAACAACGATTAAGTTATCAAAGGGTGCACATATCATACGTGGAATTGTAAGTGGAAAATATAAACGTGTGGATGCGGATAAAAACGGTTAGAACCTGGATCGCTTTCAAGTTCCAACCATCCACTGTTTGCCGCCATATTTGAAACATGATAACTTAAAGCCAGCGGTTCATTAGTTTCGAATAGTACATAAATGTAAGGTACTTGATTGTGTCCGGTAAGATGCACAGGACGACCAGTTTGTGTTCACTAGTCAATATTGCCATATAATATCATGGAGGGCGAGCTAGCAGTACAAAGTTTCTCTTTGTAGAATCAGAAGGGGGTTGTCACCATCCCCACGCGCCAACGGAGAGCATTGCGTGACTCCAGCCCAAGCGGCTGTGAAGGAGACTATTCCCAGTGCTCGCTTGTGCAACACGGGCCTTATTTTCTGTCCAATTACTCGCTAGAGTTGTATTTTCAGGAGTGTGTTTAGTAATCTCCCTCGGGAGTGAATTTCTGTATTTAATAAACTCGTGTGTAAGGGGTTTTGTCCAGTTTAGATGCAAGCGCCAGTTGAGAGGATTTTTGCGTTGTCCCCTTCTGGGGGACGGGGGGGGGGAGTCCACTGGTAGGGTCCTCTGTTTCCCCTCCCTCCCCCCCCTAATTTTACTCTTATCTGGGTCTAGCCCTTTCGCCTCCTCGCCTGCGGACTCGCATGTCCCGTAACTTATCTGTTGAGTTCCCAGGCCTTTGTTGGGCGAGCGTCAACTGGGAATAGATTACTATTCATACCCTGACCCTGCTTGAGACCAAAAATTCTGCAACCCTATTGAAGACAAAAAGACCTTTTAAAGACCATTTGAGCTCCCAGGAAGCCCCCGCATCTAGCTCAAATTGTACGCCCACCACTGAATTTGATTTATGATGTTATTGTTAATTTCATTTTTTTCATATAAGACCGGTAGTAAATGCCAAACATATTTTGATCAGCACTGCTTCAGCTTGTTTTGCAGCTCTTTTTCTCTTCCAGTTTTAAGCCCCCTCAGATATAAGCCCCTCCATTTGTTGGCCCTCTTAAAAACTCTTTTTACAAAAGTGCATCTTAGCCCAGGGCTTAAAGCGGCAGATTACGGCAACCATTTAGGCCAAATTAGGGAGTACCCCCTACTCCTATCCCATTGGCGATGTTTTCAAACTAAGAAAGGCCTCGCTCATTAGCATCCTATCATTTAAGCAAAGCAAGGGGCAGCTTATCAACACAAAACAACTGTGGGTGGGGAGGGGGGGAACCTTGGAAGCAATACTTATAAAAGAACAAAAGAGCCTCCTAGGTACACACTGACCCGACTAGACAGTGTATTAGGTAGCTACCCTAAGACCCTAAGGGTACTCACTCGGGTCTGGCCGGGAGAGACAGTGCAAAGAAAGCTTTCAAGAGGATGCCCGTGTCTTCATCAATGGCTTGTTTGTGGCAGTCTTGTCTCTGGGGTCATGTCTCATGGTGGCTTGGAAAATGACAAGACCCTGGGGAAAGGGTTGTGTTTGTGGCAAAGTGCTGGTTAAGACTGCCTATTTATGAACCAGGCACAGTGTATACCGAGCACAATTAACTACACAGAGACTTATAATGCCTGATAATTCCCCCTTGGGGATCTTTCAGTGACTTGTACTGGGATCAACCAATGCAAATACTGTGTACTACTGGATCTTGCCTCTTGTGGTATAAGTGAGCCCTTAACTATTTCGAATAAGACAATGGGACATCACAGGCTACCGAAGCTCACTATGCGAGCCTGTGAAGCAACAGAGATTGTGCTTCAATCTTAGCTTCTTACAAAATAAACAAACCTGTATCTAAATTTATTTCAGTGTTTATTTACCTCTTAGACAAACCTATAGTGCAACTATTGGTTTAACTAAAATCTCAAATATTCTTTTTGTCAAGGCTGACATTTAAATAATGTTTACTTTGTAAAACTTGGAAAATAACCTATTTAATAATTTTAAAAATACAGTTTTATATTGCATTAGCTACGTAACAGTCATTTCCTGTGATCCATTTTCTTCACTAACTCAGTAATTTGAGCAATTTGCTTTTGCCCTACAAGCACTGTGGTATTGGCTTAGAATTCACTTGGTTTCTTTAGCCAGTTCAGCAGCTTTTACAATAGGCTGAAGTTGTGGTGATGAAACATCTGAAAAAGGACAATCAAAAATGTATATAAAAGGAAAGCACATTTTCATCCCTCGCCACTTATGGCCTGTGTGCTTGCAGAAGGAGTATACTGGTACATGGTACAGTTTAGTAAACCTTTATAGCTGTAACAAAGAGTAGAGAGGTTAAGAGACCACACTTTGGCAGAAAAGGAGCCATCTACAGCTTGAACCCCTGATAGGGTTCCTTGAATTGTGTATAGATCTAATGAAGAGCACATCTTAACCCCCCTGCTAAAACTTAATAAATGACTTCTTCACACACAGCAGTTTGTCTAATCCTAAGCAAGGCTTGTTTAAGAGGTCTCCTTGGAAACAAAAGAAACTCTCATTGCCTTAAAATGGGAGTAATTCTTCAGGTTTACTCCCACAATTATGTAGGGTCAGGGCTTCAAGACCCTTTCTTGCAATGATATGTACACACATCCTGCTGATGATAGTAGTCTTCCAGGAGTACAACAAAAGGATAAACTTACACGAGTCACAGTCATAGCACCACACACTAAGGTCCATAAAGCTTAAAGCCAACATGTGGCTTGGTTCCTTTGAATTGTGTTCCACCATATGACTTTTTACATAACGACTGCAAAACACCACTGAGCACATAAGGCACAACCAATTTTCCCCAACATTTTCGCATGATCCACAAGGCTTCATCAAGTCAATGTGCAATGAAGCTGTGTTTGATAATGACTGTTGAAAGAAACAAAATAAACATAAAAGATAATAAGGCCTATGATGCATAATGCCTTTTGGCACTGAGAGAAATGGAGACAAATAAATAATTAGTTAGCAGGGTAACTTGCTGCCCAGGCAATTAACCTAGGATTACTAGCCTACAATCTCTAGATGACCAGCAACATGAATGTTTGTAAACACTTACTTTCAAGAAATGTAGACAAATAACATGTACTTTAATTTTCAATTTTGCTCATGGTAATTTCAACTTTGCTCTTGGAAAAGGCTGCCATGTCAGCGAATTTACAGAACTTTTGTGCACTAAAACTTGATGCCAGTGGAATTAATTTTTTGTGAATAGCATTTGGGAAAAGTGAAAATTTCCGTGGGCAAAACTGAAATTGCGGCTGCGGGCAAAGGTGAAATTGTTGAGGGTAAAATCAAAATTGCCATCAAGAGCAAGTTGAAATTGCCATGACACTTTTGAGCCATCCCAGTATCATGACATATTGAATGTTGAAACAAGCCATTAAATTAGTTACTGAGAATATTAGGATTTGTGTAATTGACAAAGACCAGCCGTTATGGTAAATTTCTGACAAGCAACAAGGCCTTGAAACAGCAACATAAGATTAGATGAGATGGCAACAAATGACATAAAGATGGATTAAATACCAACAAGGACATTACCTATTTCTCAAAATGTGAAACGACCATCTTTGAATAAACACACCCCCCACTCCCTTCCCCTAAGAGGACCTCCTTCAATACACGTGTAAGGCGTTGTCTCCTCACCAGCCCCACAACGGTAAAAAAGGAATTTAGAGACTCAAAACAGCTGCTAGGCCTCCCACGCAGGCGTTTTTTAGGGGATCTCATATTTTGTCCCTCCCAATGACAATGGGAAAAGAATGTTGTTTTCGGTTGAGTAGGCGTTTGTGGGGAGGGATGAAAGACGAGCTCTCCTAAAAACGCCCGCGCGCCGCGTGGGAGGCTAAACAGCTGCTCTCCATCGTTCGTTGTCAGGGTGGGACATTTGGTAAACAAATTAAACAATGTACAACTAGGAACAGATCAGCGCTTATAGATCAAGATAAGAGTTCCAAGACTTTGCTGTGGAGCAAGCAAAACTGAAAACAAACTGCTTTTATTAAGCTTACTTCAACAAGAGCACTTTTCTCGGCCTTCCGAAACTGAAATAAAATTTTACGCTTCACTGAACAGAAAGCTTTTCTTGTCTATAAAAACGTTGTTTAGAAAACAATGGTGTTGTTAAAAACTGCATTAAAAATGGAACAAGCAAGATGAAAAATAAAAACTGTATTAGCTGCTGAGAAAACATACAGGAGTACACGCTTTTAAAAACTCTGTAGTTTGACAAGGATGTTATGTCCTTCATTTTTTGTACTTACTTGAACATGTGGGCAATCCGACTTTGGTTCAACAGCCACAAAGCCTGCAAAGTCTAAGCCACCTAAAGCCATTGCTTGATGTGATGGCGACTATACAACTATTAACAAACAAATAAAAGACACCAACACCCAAGAAGAAGTCGGAAAACTTTGACGTCTTTGAGAACGCAGGTGAGATTTTGGAATAATTACTAGAATGGTCGGATCCAGTGACAACTGCCGGGGACTAGATCAAGGAGATCATTGGCCAGAAATCAGCTCGCATCATTTTTCTTACCCTTTTTCGTTTACTCTTTTTAAAAACTTTTGGCTTCCTCCAGGTCACAAAAGACAAATTTTGCAAGGTGGAAAATAAACGCTGCACCCACACCAAGAACTTGACACGTCGTGCCGTGGAACATACAGCTAAAACCGCTAATTTGGTTACCGCTGACACGGCGCTTGGAGAGCCGCTTGGCCCAGCCTCCCACGCAGACCTGTTCACAGCAGGGCGGATAAAGGTTGGGCGATGAAACGAGCGCTCCGCTCTTCATTTAATGTGTGATGCGGAGTAGGACTGGCACGAGCGCTCTTTCCGCGCTTCCGGTGCGCTTGAAGGCCGGCGAAAATTTCGTTTT